CAAACTGTACTGTGGTTTGTGCTATACATCAACCTAGCAGTCAAATGATTTCGCTCTTCGATAACATTATGGTACTCGATCGAGGCAGATGTATGTACTGCGGTCCAACGAGCGAAATCATAAACACTTACGGCATTGCCGGATTTACGTGCCCCAGCTTCTACAACATAGCCGAATTTGGTACAGTTTACTTTATTCAACTCAAACCAACTTGATAAAGAATTACGAGATAACAGAAGAATAAAGAAAAGAGCATAAATATAGAATAGGCGCATTTGTTTTATATATTGTCTTATAACTTTATTTAGAACCAATTCTCTGTTATTAATCCTGCAATGTCAATTTTTTAAATCTTAATAAAAAGGTCTTAGTTTTTGGACAATTAATTTAAAAAAATAGTAGACTATTATTATATTATTTTATTTATAGTATTTAAATATCAAAGAAAAATAAGAAAATATTTGTGTAATATTATTATTTTAATAACAATATTTTTTAAATTTTTGGAAAAGATGTAAAAAAAATTACGTACAATAAAAAGTATGCGTCATTTAAAAGTTTTTTTCAATCAAATTTAAATTGTGATACGTATATTTTAATACATTGTCGAATTTTTTATCTTATACTGTAGAAATTAAAATGCTTTAAAGATAATTATACATAATTAAAAAACAAAAACCAATCGATATTGATTGTGTTCTTCTAATTGCAGTGCTTGAGGTAATATCCGAGCAGAGGGGTGGAGATTTAGAAAATCTATACAAGATCTGTCATGATGAATACAAAAAATTCAGATTACGCAGTAAAGATAATCTGAATGGTAAATATGTTACATTTTATTCTTAATTGTTGTATCAATCTGTAATCATTTATTGATAATCCATTATAATTTATGTTAATAATTATTTTTATTTTTATTAATTTATATTAATTTATACAATATTCTTTTATCTTGGCGATGTTTGGAAGCGTTAGTATTTTATTTATCAAATATCTGCTACAGCATCTTCTATAGAAATTGAAATTCTTAGAAATATGGGATTGAATGTCTTGTATATGACGTAAAAATAATATCAAAAAGTAATATCAAAAAATATAAAAATACAATGCAAGATAATTTATATAAAAATTATGAGAAACAAATTTTTCAATAATTATTTTTAAGTATTAATAATTAACTGATTTTTTTATAGAATTGAAGTCATCAATTAATTTCAAACAAAAATGTGAAACAGACGATGCAGAAGCATGTGCAAATAGTATAATACTAAAGAAATCGACATGGGAACAGCAAAAGGTTTTATTTTTACGAGCTCTAATCTGCATCAAGCGAGATAATGTGAGTAAAATCTTTTAAAAGTAGAATAGAATACTTGTAATACTAATGAATGG